CGCCTCGGGGGCAGTTTGCCTCTGAAGTGTCCGGGGGTGGCTTCGGGCCTCCCGGGCCTGCCTCGGGAGAGGCCCCTCGGGTCCCCTGCCCTCTCCCCTGTGCCCGGGAGCGCCGCAGAGAAACGCTGGTGTTGTTTCTAGGGGTATTTAAATTAGGGTGCTGGGGAAGCTCGTGGTGTGTGTCTGTGCCCTGGCTTGTTCACCTTAAGTGCCATTTTGGTTCCTGTATGGGACGTCTTTGCAGCTCCTCTCCGCACACCCATGTATATTGCCATGGAAATCTGGCAGATTGCTTTCTGCCTGATGGAGTAGTGAAATGGGGAAGCTGGAAACCTCTGTAATCTGCATAAACAATATGAAGGGCATATCTGCATGAAATGCTGCTCCACTTTGTTTTGTTGTTGGGGGGTTTTGTTTGTTTGTTTTTAACGTAATTTTTACCTTGTTTTGGTAAGGCAGGATGCACAGTGCTTGCCTGTGTCGGAAGTCACCACTGGATATGCTCAGCAGTAGGCGCATGGCACAGTTTGCTAGTGCCTTGAGAGTGCATTTGGGTGAAGTAGCTGGTGTCTCTCTCTGTGAAGTGCTCCCTTGCTGTTTGTGAGTCCCACATAGCTGTCGTCAGCTGTGTTGAGGTTTTCTGAAGAGTGGCTTCACTCCTTAACCCAATTGTTTGCTGCTGCTGACAAGGGAAGGGGCTTTTGCCTTCCTGTAAGACTCCAGGCCCTGAGTCCTGCCTCCTCCTTTGCTCGACAAACACAGCGCTGGTCACCAGGTCATAGCAGTGGTGACCAGGTCATTCAGCCTCAAGAACAGTATCCTGAGACTAACAGTGCAGGGACCTAGCACTTGGGAAGGTAGTGGGCGTCTGGGGAAGGACCACTGCTGCTCTGTGACCGTGGGCACCGGAGGGTGGGAAGGAGGGACAGTTTGTGTGTGTAACAGCCGCTGGCAGAGCTATGAAATGATACTTGTTCTGTTCGTGGCTAGTTTTTTCCTACTTTTTTACATTTCTGTGAGGTTTATGTTGTTACTTGCTATGTACAAAATACTTTCTCCCCATTCTGCACCTGTGATGGATGTTGTAAAGATTAGGTTTGATTTGGTCTCTTGTGTTAACTGGTTCATATAACATCCAGTACGCTACATGGTGGGGTTACTGGTGCACTCCAAAGCTCGAGAGTCAGCCCAAGCTTGTATCCCTGCAGTGACAGGGACATGCTAGGAAAAATAAGGATTACGAGACAATACGAGACATCATCTTCTCTATCAAAGATAAGGAATTGTACAGAAAAGTTTAAAGGTTGTAAAGGAAGGAAATATGATGAGGGAACCACGTGTCAAAAATAGGAAGACATCTGTTTGAAGGTGAGGGGTCTTGGGGAATTGTCAGAACCTGAATTGGAAGGAAATAGTGATGGCCCTTTAGGGAAGGGTAGCTGTTGCACCTCTACTCTGTGTGGGAACATTTTTGTGTTGGAGCAAGTGAGCCTATGGAAGGAGGTTAAGCTTTTCAGCAGCAGATTTGTGGACACAGTTTTCTGCTTAAGTAATAGGATTGAAATGTGCTCAGTAAGAAATTTTTACTTTGCACGTATGCTGAGAGTAAGATCTGTTTTGTACTATTCAGTGGCACAGCTGACTGTGAGGCCATGTACCCAAACTAGTAACCCTTGTCTGTTGTGAAAGGAGGAATCCAAAGCAATTAGAAAATAATAAAAGTTCAGCTGGATGCAACAGGATTTCAGTGGGGACGTTGCAGGTGAGGTGTAGCATGTAGTTCCTCTTCATTTTTTAACTTCTAAATGCTGTCTTCAGAGCTCCGCCATGAATACGCGAGGGTAAATGCCAGGCCCTGGTCCTCCCCCGCCCCCCCCGCCACCTCGTGAGCAAGAATTGTGTTCCCTGATTCAACCCCAGAGAAGGGAAGCCTGCCAAACAAAACATGCATATCAAACAAGCAAGTAATCACTCCTCCTAGGTAGGCTTTTGCTTGTGTAGCATTAACACTTGATTTCCAGGAACTCAAAAAACACGTATTATTCCACTCGGTGAAGCAGAAAGAGCTTTTATAGATGGAAACATCTGGGGTTTGCACCTGTTGGAAGTCTTTATTGCTTTTAATTTGCCATTAGCTTATACTTTTAGGTAAGTGCACTTAGGAGGGAAGCTTGGTAATTTTTGTGCTGGTCATAAATCATGGAACAACTTATTTAGCTGACAGCTGACAAACTGTTATATGTTAAACAGTTAATGTGCTCGGGCCCTTTGACACAGTTCTCTCAGCAGATATTCATGCGCTATGGCCAATGTAAAGGATTCCTCTGAAGAAGGTTTTTTGCTATTCAAACCAGGCAGACCTAAACGTCTGAAACAATATCATCACATGTTTTTCTCTTCTCTCTAGTTCCCACTTGTTGCAGAATACTGATACGCTAGCCTGAGGAGAACTCTATAGCTCTGTTCATGACTAGCATTGTACATCTGACAAATATTTGGGCTTTGCCCCCTTATCCATGCCTACTTCTAGCTTAATATCTCAGTGTTCTTTCAGACAAACCTGGAATTTACAACAGGATTTAATTTTTATTTTTTTTTTAAATCTGTTGATGCTTCCTGATATTGAGGTCAGTTTCTCTCTCAAGAAAAACAGCCAAAATAAGGTCATCTCCCAGTTTTTTTTACGGTGAGACTTATTTGAGATACAAATGATGCTTATTTGTTTTTACTACTTCACAGCTGTAGCTGTGATCACATCTGATCCTTAGTCTGTTCATTTATCCACTTAGATACCTGACCTTTATTAGGATGTTAATGCCTGGGGAGAAGTACATATCCCTAAAATTACCAGATGTTTTAAAATTCATATGTATTAGTAAATAATGGAAATCATATTACGTGAGGGACTCTCTGAGAGTAATCTTAAGAAACACCAGTATTTCTTTAACTACACAAATTCTTCTTAACTGTAAACACAGAGATGAACCAGTGCACTTTATTTGATAAAAAATGTTCTGGACGTTGCCATATGATACCTTTATTAGTAGGGGAAATTCTAGAGTCCGCAAAGAGAGAAAGACTTTAATCCACTTTACTGTTTTAATTGCTTTCTGTGTAAAATTTTACACTTTTTGGAAAGTATAGGATACAGAATCTGAAATAATTTGCTTGTGTTTCTTGATAGTACTCTACTTGGTGACATGAACTGTGCACATAACACATGCATTGTATTGGAAATGATGATAAATAGTTTTATACAATGACTTGATTTTTACTATTTTTCCATCCTGCTTTCAAGCTTCCCATCTCTCCTGAAATGAATCATTATATAAAATAATTAATTGAATGAATTCCTTTTCTCCAAACAGCTCTTCCTAACAGCTTTTTGGAAGAATATCCATATACTGATAGGCTGAACTTTAATTCAGAACACCCTGGTTTATTGCAGGTAACTGCAGATGAGGGGATCCTGCACGCTTCTGGAAATGGCGTGCCTCCAGTGACAAAGGATTACTGCATAATTTACAATTCTAATTGGATATCCCTTCCAAAGAGCCTGGACAATGCTGTAAGTAGCTTATAATCATACTCCCTAAGAAAACTAGAATGCAATATGAATTTGGATCAGCTATAACTGGTCTTCAAAATTTTGAGTCAAATAGGTGCTACACTGAATATTTTTTGGGTTTTGTGGTGTCCCCCTCCAAAAAAAGTTTATAGTGAACACTTCTGTACTTTAAAAGTCAGCTCATACGGTTTATAAGTGATACTATCTCTGTGCTTCAAACTGGTTTAAAATATGTGTATATATTCAACTGATACTGTTAATTTTTTTCTTCAGGTGTTAATCAGTATGTCCAAGTTTTGGGTTTGGGAAAACAGGAAATACTTTGTGTTTGGAAGTGATCAAGGCGCTCTTCTCTCCCTTCCCTCCTGTGTCATTCATTAGCAGGTTAACTCAACATAAACCAGAGTAAAAATCATTTGTCTGCCCCAAACATCTTTGCTGTGCTACTTTGGCCACTGGGATGTCTTGATTAACTAAAGAAAACTGACAATAATTTAAAAATAATCGTCACTATGGAATTGAACTTTGAAATGAGGATAGAAATCTTTCTTTAAATTCTGTTGTAATAAGTAATATCAGGCTCAGCAGCTGTTTTTGAACAAGTATTATGCTTGAGAACCCTGGTTATGTTGTATCTGTCAGTGCTCTTTTGGCTTGTGAAGTGTGGAAGTACCAGAGAGTGTACACTGGACTCCCCAGAACTACAAGGAGCAATTTTTCTATATAACCATTTTCTTATGTTTAAATTACAGCAGCAACTGCTGTGAAATTGCGTTTAGAAACAGCCAGACATTTCAGCTGTATGCTGCTCTAAATGTCCCTCAGTATTGTAGGCTGCAGAAACTGCTGCTCTGATTTTATATTCTTGAATTAATGATTCCTTTCTGTTAGGCTTCTTTCTAGCAAACCTCAAATTAGGGAGCATAGTGATGTCTTCTAGATTAGGTTGCAAATTTTCTACTTGCATCGTGTTCCTTTTTTTCTTTCTTCTCTCTGCAGACTTTCAGGACTCTGGAAAACCTGACTTCTACGGTACTCTGCAATTCTTCTGAAGTTCCTTCTGGCTTAATGAAGGACAAAGCAGTTGTAGTGATGAGAGGAAACTGCACTTTTTTGGAAAAAGCGAGAATTGCGCAAAGTTCAGGTGCTAAAATGCTGTTGATTGCCAGTAAACCTAGGCTGGTAAGTTACAGCATATCGTTTTCTTCTGTAGTGAAATAGTGTCTTGTTCATTTGGTCCAATGCAGTGTTGTGCAGGTTAGCCAAGAAGAAACCCCAAAAGCAGAGGACCCTGGCGATGTGTGGGATTCCAGCAGGAGTTATTGACCTTCCCCGCAGAACGCTGTGCTGGCGCGACTGCTGTTCCCGAGACTGAAGGGTCATTCTGAGTTAGCTCTGTGCAACACTGTGTTATATCATCTAAAAGTATCTATAGCTGAAGTGTATTTTTAATCTGTTCCTTGTGTCTTTAATCATGTTTCTGAATGCTTGTCTTTATCAGTCCCTAATTTTAGTGTACTCTGAACTCGTCGTAATCTCAGGTGATACTTTTAGACATGCGTGACAAAAATAAGCTAGGAAAATGTAATCAGAAATTAGGAATAAAAAAAGGCGGTTTGAGATACCTTTACAGATACTGTGTTGTTTTTTTGTTTACTGTTACAGCTGCAACATGTATGAACAAATACTTGAATTTTATGAATTTGTGTGATTATCATGAAAAGTTAGTCTTGTTTTAAAAGCATAGAGAATAAGAACAGAGTTTTGGTTATCCCTTGTAATACTATAAAAGCATGAGAACTTTATGAATCCAGATGTGTTGGTAGTATCACGTGTTTTGATTTAAGTACATCTGTCTTCATTAACCTTTTGCAAAAGGTGATTAATGACCTTTTTTTTTTTTTCTCCCTACAAATACACTGAAATTTAAAGGATAGTCTGCTTTTAGGGATCTAACCTGCTTTGCAGTTAGGCTCAACATACTTATCACTGACACTTTTTCTTTTAGTCTCCTCTTTCAGATAACAAGACAGATTTTGAAGATGTGACTCTTCCAGTTGCTCTTATACGATACAATGATATAGTAGATATGCAGTTGGTAAGTAATATAACTTCAACATGTTACGTTTTTTGAACAAATAAATAAAAATAAACAAATTAAATAAATAAAATCATTTCAGGTCAGATGTGGATGTCTACCTGATTTGAATGTGCGTAGATACTGCTTTCAGTTTCACAGAAGAGAATGGATATGAAGTTGTGGAAGTGCTAGTCTTCCTAATTCAGGTTAATTTGAGAGAATGATTAATTAGAACACTGAGAATGGGAAACATAATACCTAGCTGGAGGGAGGGTAATCTTAGAAGTCTTCCTGCTAAACAAGATAAGCAGCCTTGCAGTAGACTTGCATACAATTGCACATGCCTGACATATGTCAAGAGCTACAGCCTGAGAGGGCTGTTCCTTTAGTGCAGAAGCTAGCACAGTTGAGCTTGTCTCTACTGGCACGGTGTCTTTCAGGCAAGCAGTACCTTATCAGGCTGGATCTTGAGGAAGGTGTGGAGTTTTTTTGTCTTTGCCAGATGATGAGCTCTCTTTATACAGCATGACAGCATCTGTTACAGAGCAGTTAGGCAGTATAGATTGAGTTTCTGCTGATGAGTTAATGGTGAGATGCCAGGCATGTATCATTAAAATGTGGCAGTTGTGGTATTTCCTACACTTTATAAGCAGAGGAGTTTGTTTTGGGAGTATTTGGAGTTTGTTTTCCTTGACATGTAATATTAGGATACAAAATATTGCAGAAGGTTTTAAAGAAAACAGTATCTTTTCCTCGGTGTGGCTTTTCCTGTTATTTTGTTGTTGTGTTGGTTTTTATTTAGTGTGAAATGGCTTTGCTAGGCAGGAGTTGCACTGCACGTATTTTGCTGTGAATAGCAGAGGCTAGCACTAACCTCTGTAGTCTTAGCTGCTTGGATTGAATTTGCAAGCTTGCTTCACCATTTCTGCTCTTAACCTTCAGAGCTGCCATGGGAGGTTGTCTTAGGTAAGTATGCAAACTGAAACCGTGCCTAGATGTATAGGACTTTGGTTGTTTTCTGTCTGTTCCCATTAAAGATTGGTTCTTGCTGAGCATTGACATGACTGAAGGTTTGTGATGACTGTCCTCAGTCTGCCATCGTCTTGATGAATACCGTGTTTTGGTTCAGGTTGTCCTGTCTTGACATTTGTTTTTTCAAGTAAGACAAGTGTTGTTTGCTTAGTGGAGTGGTTTTACGATATGCCCTACTAACGTTAAAGGGAACTAGGGCAAGGTTAGATCCCTAATTTGTTCTGAATCTTCTCTGCACCACTTTATTACCTAGTGCTGTTTGGGGTAGTATCATATAGAATCACTTCTGTATGGCTATAGCAATTCACCGAAGTAACTTTGCTAGTAGATTAGTGTACCAGATGATGTCTCACACTGCTGTTAAATCAAATACTTTGGTTTTGTCTTACAATGAGACCGCCTTTGTGTAAGTAGCGAGGAACACAGCCTGGTCTACAAGTGATCCTTCCCTAGTTCTGATGGAGTTTTTGCCAAAGCCTTCTGTCACGTCACTGGCAGCTGTTGTTTTGCATGGTACATGCTGCTTAGAAGCTGGCAGCCATTGCACTCTTCCTACTACAGTTGTATTTCTGTTTTAACTCTTTTTCAAGGCTTCCAACTTTCTCCTTTTATTTAGAAGAGGGACAGCACCAGTCTGAGGGTAGCTAGTTTGTATAAGCATTCTTTCTACTTCTTCCATCTCTGTCAGCTTTCACCATTTGAGTTGGGTATACTATGAGTCTTGATAGCAACAGCAGTGTGTTACAAACCTTCTACTAAGCAGACAGATATCTTGTGGAGTTGTTACCTGATGCGATGTATTTGATTCTAGTGCTCCCTGTAGTGGAGGTTGAGACTTTGCAAGTTTTTAGTGAAGAGCAGAACAATAGGAACAAAAGGAAACAAATCACTCTAGATTCTAACATGAATTGTACTTTATAAGATTTCTGAAACATAAAGGAAAAACTGGATTAAGACATGTTGGAATTTATTACTGAAAATGTATAAACCCTTAGGTTTCTTGGGGTTTTGGTGCTTTTTTGTGTCTGTCTGTTTTGGTTTGTTTGGGATTTTTTTTTTTTCTTCTTTTACACACAGGATGCTGCAATTTGAATAGGGTTTTTTGCCCTTATCTAATGTTATGTTCCACTTCATACAACTGCAATGTTTCACTAGAATTTAATTTTCTTTCTTGTTTTCTGAACTTCCATGACTTCAGGCAAGGGAATGATTCTGACTTCTTTAGCCTGCAGTAAGGTTAATATCTGTAATTAGATAATTCAGATGCTGAAATGAATCGTCCTTCTTCACACATGGCCAGTATATTTCACTATGCTACTCAGCTTCCCAGTCAGTCTCTCCACTGCCAGTTTGATCTGCCTGTAGCCAAACCTGCCTGGCGTGTTCATCTCCTCTCCTGCTTTTATCCCACATGCAGGCTGTTAACGAATCTGTCTTTCTGCTGCATCTCTGCAGGATTGCTTTAGATGCCTTGACTTTGACTACAACAGCAAACCTCTCTTCCCCACCACCTTCCATTCCTGTCAAATTATCATCCTTTGTTTCTTAAATCTCACCTTTCAGCCAAATGGAAACATCTTGGGTTTGCTTTCAAGATTTTTGTACAGTTCTGTATCACTTATGTCGCCATGTTCCCTCCTATCTTATTCGGTGTCCTTCAGCTGATTGGTTTTTTTACTTTGGTCTTAATTTTTTTAAGTAGCGTGAAATTGTTTTCTTTTCTTTTGAATCCATCTTAAATCATTTTCATGTAAAGTTTTTATTACGTAACTTTCGAGTTTTCACTGTGTCCTGTCTGAAGCATTGTGCCCTTATCTGAACTGTGAGTTCTGTAGTTTCAAGAGCAAAAGTAGACCTCTGCTGATATCTCAGTGGACCTGTGAGCCTGTACTTCATGTTCATTGACTGAAGTACCAATGGGGTACCAAACCCCATTGACTCGGATACGCTTTCCTGCAGAGCAGAAGTCTCTGATAGTACTTGGTATATGTGGGGGATGAAAAGCTTTTGGGCTAGAGGCACAACTTCTCAGAAGTGTTGTAAGAATGCAAAGAAGTACCATTTTGCCTGTGGCATCTATGTTTCCACAGCAGTAGTAATAGGATTGTTTTCAAACCTGATCATCCTGAAAGGTAGCCATGGAAAGCTTTGCTTCTTTACAATGGCCAAGGCAAATACATGGGATGTCTTGTGCAGTAAGTTGAAAACTTGCTCTCAGCATTGTGTAGGTTAAGAGCAGGAAATCACGATGTGCATCTTGTTGGAAAATAAGCAATATAATTTCTTTGGGTTCCTTATGGACTGACATGTATTTTTTTTTTTTTTTTTTTTTTTTAGATGCTTGGAAATGAAGTTAATGTGACTCTGTATTCGCCACCTTTGCCAGAGTTTGACTGCAGTATGGTTGTCATCTTCCTAATTGCTGTGTTTACAGTGGCACTAGGAGGCTACTGGAGCGGAGTAGCAGAACTGTAAGTTTGTTAAATGGAACTGCTTAAGTTACTTAAACTACAAATTTGTGAAAACCGTGACTTACGATCAGTGAGAAATTATGTTCGCTTAGGTTGGTAGTTAAAAAATTAGAAGATCTAGGTGCAATTAGCTGCTTTGCCATGAAATGCTTGAGCACTGCAACCTTGGAAAAAATCACTGTAGGCCTTTGAGGAACCTTGAGTAGTAGATTGTAAAAGTCCCTGAGTGCAGTTCTTGGGAGGAGGAATGAGTTATTTTGACAAATTACCAAATACTCTATAACTAGCATCGTAATACTCCAATACCCATGATAGAAAGGAGGTATTTTAGTGATACCTTTAAAATCCAGTGATCCAAGAGGTATATATGTAGCTGTTTGTAGTTGGCAGGGACCTGTACAACTGCTTCGTCCCAGCTGGCAGTGCAGCACCCTCTGCGTGCAATTTGGTTGTGTCTGGGTGGCTCCAGACAGTTAAAAGTCCAACCAGGCTTATCTGCTTTAGGTTTGTGTGTTATCTTGTAGAGCAACAGAGCCAGGGGCAATAGCAGCTCTAGGACTAGGCAGGGGCAAGGAGGCAGCAGCAGTTCCTGTGCAGTGAAGGGCAGGGAGCGGAAGCGTAGAATGTGGCAAAAACAGGGAAACGAGGGCAGTAGGGGTTTCTGCACTGTGCTTGAGGGGTGCGCAGCTTTGTTTAGTGAAGTGAAGCACACTCGATGTTTTTAGTCTGGGGTTGAAACTGGATATAGCTGGCCTTTCAAAGCATGGTAGTATTCTGCAGTATTTCTTAGATGTCTGCATATGTTGAATGGACCACTGTGCAGTTACTATCTAGGGCTGCCCGTTCTCAGTGGTGTTCTGCTTTGTTCCCCAGAACCACAGGGAACGGATTGTATGTGATAACAACAGCTTCCTCTTTCCCACTAGTTATGCAAATCTAGTGATTTTAAAGAGATTAAAGAAGTAGAAGGGGGTGTGTGGTTTTTTTCAAGGTTGGATCTGATTAAGCTGCTTTTCTTACCCTGCAGTGCTATAGGGTGTGGCTGCACTGAATGCTAAAATAACAAAATGTGATGCTGTCTCCCATTACTGAAAAATACCTAGATGCAATTATATTAAACTTCTTAAAGTGCACTTTCATAAATTTAGGGTGAGCTTTTTTTTAAAAGGCTGCTTATTCAAAGCATGTCCTCTGAGAAGGTGATTCATCTAACAAAGTGTCTTACTCCTGTGGGTTTTTCTCTTTTGAAGGTAGCTGTTTCAGTGCTGAATTCAGCATTTTGTAGGTAGGTCCTGGGATTCATCAGGAACATGCTATCTGATGGGCAAGGTGTACTAGCGTCTGTACTGTAGGGCTATCTGCTCAAAGAACAAACGCAACAATTTAAGTCTCCTTATTTTGCATGGTGAGGTATAAATATGGTGTATGTATGCACAGAAATCTTACTCCCAGTGAAAATCCTCAATTATACCCCCTCTCTTTCATTTACTCTGTAATTATGAGGTGTAAGGGTAAAAGAGCTAGTACTTAACTAGCTTCATTCTGCTAACATGAATGGCTTTTGCAGACACTTAATGTCTATAGTTGATGTTTTAAAACAGTGTGTAATACCCATGATTTTGATTTACCATAGACATATTTATCAGATTGACTACACTTAGCCCAAGAAATATTGTAGTCGGAGGTGATGTGCTAACAGAATTGAGTGTGTGCATCCTGGAAAGGAGTTTTGATAGTGGACTGCTTCTCCTCACATGGATCAGGATTTTGGCTGGGGGTACTCCTTAAAGCTGGCAATCACCACATGATTCAAAGGAGGGCAGTTAAGAATCTCTTCCTTGTGAGACTTCTAACCTTCCTAGGTTAGAAATGTACATCTCCATTAAAAAATAGAGCGAAACTCAAATGATAAGCATACCACTTTTCTGTCATTTTCAAGTCTAATAATGGTATGAAGGATGAGCCTGAAATGCTGTCAGCCTAAATGCTTTATAAGCAACAATCCTGGTCCAGGTAAAACGTTTTCATAATTTGTCATCTGAGGTAAATGTGTTTGTTGTTTTCTTAAAACAGTGAGAATTTGAAAGCGATAGCAAGTCCCGGGGAGAGAGAAACAAGACGGAAGAAGGAAGAAAATGTTACTTTCACCCCTGTAACAGTTATCTTGTTTGTTGTCATCTGTTGCGTCATGCTAGTCTTACTTTATTTCTTCTACAAATGGTTAGGTAAGAAACAATGGATAATCTCATTTGACTTATTTTTCTTCATGGTTTTATTAGGTGTCTTAAGTCTGAAAAGCTAGATTTCTAAACTGAAATTAATGTAAATTTTTTAACTGTTCTCTCTGTGTACAAGTTCAGGGTTGAAAAGATATAGTTGCTACTTAAAAAAGAGAGACGCTTTCTTCTACTCTTACAAAAGCTGCCTTGATGGTGCTTATTCTGAGTGAAGTAATGTGGAGGAGAGGTAACTAGGGACTAGTAAAGAAAGTGTATGATGTATGTCAATGCTCTTGGTTTAGAGTGAAGGTTTTTGTTAGGTATTGCTACGTTGACATTCAGTTTGTGGTTGCAGTGCCCTAATTAAATTATCAGGTGAAATGGTATTACCCTAATGGAGTAAGCTCAGGCATACTAGCAATAAGCTAAATTCTTGAATCATGCAATTCCAGTAAAATGTAGTTTCCAAGTTGTTGGTTGATTTTATTTTTTTTTCTTTTTCTACCCTCAAATCATGCAACCAGAAAATGTAGTTTTAAATTACACTTTTTAGTATGAACAATGTAACTTTTATTTTGAAAGCTTCCTAAATTCACCGTTTCCTAGGATTTGTTACCAGTTAAGCTCCTGCTTCTGCAAAAGAAACTTCACTATCCTGACTTCTGATTTTGTTTAGCTTTTGTTATATTGACTATGGGCAGTGCTAACTTTACTAAACTTGTTCCATTAAAAGACTGATGAACCTTTTAATGTGATCAAAACGTTTAGGTTAGAAATGTCACCTGTTTACTCTGAGATGTTTCAGGTGAGATTTAGGACCTAAAAGTGAAGAAAGGGGCTTCTTAAAGGAAAAGGGGAGAAGAGTAACAAATTAATCAGGAGGAGGAAGAAATGTGAATGGTTCAAAGAAAATCTGTAGTAGTTTTTTGCTAAGAAGCCTTAGTTTTGTGCACTTCGGAGCAGACATACATGAAATTTCTTGGAGATAAAGAAGCTGTTACTATGGTATGGCATGCTGTCCCAGGGAAAAAGAAAATCTCTTTAATTAAAAACAAGCAACCAAAAGCCCCCCACTTTGATATGTCACTACTATAGTGTGTGAATGTAAGTCCTAGTATCATTACTTGGAGTTAAGATCAATTCTATAACTGAAGTACTAGGGAGGGAGTGTTTCCAGCACAAAGCCAGTTGCCAAGCTGAGCTCTATGATGGATTTCTCTGTATCTCTTTTTTTTTTTTTGTAAGTATTCAGGCATTACTAATTCTGTGTTGTTGCCTCAAAATTTGAGATTCCTTAACAGCTGATTTCTTAATGACTTCAGAGGAACCTGTTGTGCAAAACTTGTTTTGCCTCTTAAGGGCTTAACAGAAGATCATAATGGCGCACGATCTTGGTTACAACTATTACAACTATAAAATCCGCCTTTCTTGCCTGTTTTTTCAGTAATCTCCTTGTAGGTATCAGAATTGCTTTCTAGACAGACCTTCACTACCAAAAAAAAAACAAAAAAACAACCAAACCCCAACTAGCAAACAACTGGTTTGACTGTTTGTCCACGTTTCAGGGTGCTTACCATAAGTTAGAATACACAATGTACTATATGTTGTTAGAACATGGAATATAGGGTTTTTTCCTAACCAGGTGATTCCTACCTACATAGAAATCTTTGTAAGGGATGGGGTGTTTAGTATCTTAAAATGCAACCTAAATCATCAGTCAGATCTTGGAGATGCTGAAATTTTCTTGCATAATTAGACGAAGTGGTTAAAAGGAAAATTTGAAGTGAGTATTATTATCAGAAATTGAGAAAGCTGGTAGTTGTAAAATAGCACTTTGGTTTTAGCCATAACCAAATAAAAGTATGTGAAAGCAGTAACAGATTACATATTTCTTAAAGAAAAGGGAGGAAAAATAAAAAAATTTAAAAAAAGAAGGTTTTAGACTAAAAAAATTCAAAACTCAGGTCTTTGCTTGATGAGAACTCTTGTCATGGCAGAGACACTCAGAATTCAGCACTCTGTAATCAGCGGGCTAGGGTCTCCAATGACTGTATTGAGCAGTGCTATAAGGTAACAGTTTATATCAAATGTGTATTATTGTGTTTGATGCCTGTTTACTATTTTTTTCTATTGTATTTTGTCACTGATTCCCATCTTCCATTCTTTATTTAGTGTATGTTATAATATCAGTCTTCTGCTTGGCATCTGCAATGAGTCTATACAACTGTCTTGCGGCATTAATAGCAGAAATACCATTTGGGCAGTGCAGGTATTGTATGCCTTTGAACTATTATAAATGCAAGGTTTCTTTTTGGTAGTTTCTGGTTGCTACTCAAGGTAGCATGAAAATATGAGGACAGTTTGACAAATTGTTTCCTGTATTGTTTAGTGTGCAGGTTTATTACAAGAAAAATTTACAAGCTCCTTTAATAGATACTAAAGGTATCCGTAGCATAATCAACAGCTTAAATAGTGTTGTGGGGGATTTGCTGCATTACCTTCATTTGAAAGCATTGCTGTAATCAAAGTTGAAAGGCTCTGCTTGGCTTTCCGAGCTCAGTTCTACAAAATTCTGAGTGCCTGTAGGGTGTGCTCGCTTTAACTCTGTAAGGGGGTATCCTGCACATACTTGGGTTTTTTGGCAATGGGAATGCTAGTTTCCAATTCTTAGTGGCCTGTTTTGAGGAAGGACTATGTAGACAACAGAGGGTTTTGGGGTTTTTTTGCCTCATCTTAATCTGTACTGTGTCCGTGACAGACCAAGTTTTAATTTTTTCTTGCGACGATGATGCATTGCTCACGTCCTTTTTTTTAGAAGTTAGTCATTACAGTCCTAACTAGCCCTAACCTAGTGGGTTATCAGTATGCAGATAGCCCCTTCTTGCTACTCCAAAGGGCTGGTACTGCAGTTGCAAGAATAATGCCACCCAAGTCTGGACAGCATAAATGGGCAAACAAGAAGCTCTAGGATGAGAACACCTGGTTAGCTTAAGGACCTGTGATAGCACAGGCATGTGTTTTGGCTGTTGCAGGCTTTCTTGTTTGATTGGATTGTTTTCTTTTAGGATTGCATGTTGCAACAAAAACATTGAAGTGAGGCTTATTTTTCTTGCTATATTCTGCATAGCAGCAGCTGTCGTCTGGGCAGTGTTTCGAAATGAAGATAGGTAAGTGATGCATTCTGACTTAAAAGTGTAATATGAGTAATTGTCATTAATGAACTTCCCATCATGTAACTAATCCTGGAGCATGGCATCCTCCTGAACTCCAATGATGATTTCAAAGAAAGTCACAAAAGTATTTATGCAGCTTACACAAGTATGGGAATAATAGAGAACAAAGCTATACAAACAAACTGCGTAGTAATTTGGAGTTACAAAAAATTATGAAGTTGAGGAAGAACTAGCTTGATTGCTAATGATTGCCACAGATAAAAAAGTGCAAAAATAGCATAGGGACCATAGGACCTATGCATCCTATGATCCAGTGGAAGCACAGGACCACAAAGACTGTAGTAAAATCCTAAGTAGCATCTTGAACCAAATGTTAAGCAGGGCTTCCAATCAAGTAAGCAATCATACAAGTTAACACCGAGGCTCTATTATGGCCTCTCTTCAACTCATTTTCTCTGTAGTACGCTGATAAAGGCCAGTTACCTGTTTATGAAGTCGTGTAAATTGACCATCTTGAAACTCGTATTTTTGTGGGGTTTGTAGCAATACTTCCTAAAACCTAATTTCCTACTTTCCAATCCATTTTGTGATCTTGCTATTTCCAGCAAAATCTAAATCATTATTGCACTTAGACTGCAGTAGTAGTTTGAACAATGTGTAAAAATGCATTCTTATTTTCAGGTGGGCTTGGATTTTGCAAGATATTTTGGGAGTTGCTTTCTGCCTGAACTTCATTAAAACACTGAAAATGCCCAACTTCAAGGTACTGTAAGTTGCTTGCCTGAAGAAAGTATTCTAATGGCATGAATCTGTAAATTTAGTGTCAGGAAGTAGGTTTTCAACACTCAAGAAATACATATTAATAAAAAATCTTAACCATTTTTAATAATTAAGAGAAATTATTCCTGTTCTAAATGTTACACCAGAATAAACACGTGGGGGGGTGGAGGGGTGTTTCTTATTTTATGTTTTGTTTTGTTTTTAACATGATGGTACAGTCATGGCACTAGAATCTAACTATGCAGTCCTTGAAAACCTATGGTAATATTTTCTTCTCTCTTTTGCCAGTCCTGTGTGATACTTCTAGGCCTTCTCCTTCTATACGATGTATTTTTTGTATTCATAACACCATTTATCACAAAGGTATGTCTGTGAATTTATCTTTAAAATAAACCCAAAAATGTTGTCTGGTCATTGGGGCAGTATTTTTGTCAAACAGATTAGTGTTTTGAGTATTCTCAATGCAGAAATGCTGACTTCCTTTTTCTTTTTCTCTATTTAAGACAGCAGTGGCCTAAATTTTCATCTTGTACGGCCACAGAGCATAATGGGTGGGTGTCATGAGTTTTGTTAAATGACTGAGTTTTCAGTAATCACATGGCCAAAAGTAGGCTGTCCCCAATTGTGTGACAGCGTGATAATGAGAAATGACTGTCCTCTGGTTTTCTTCCTTCTTTTGCTTTCAACACCCATATATTGGAACACGCTCTAGTACTTTCTGTGGTGCTCATTTGCAATGTAGTAGGAACTGTATGCAAGCATACCTTCTTTTATTTCGAAGCAGACAGCTAATGGCAGAAAGTGATGCGTTTTTATCTAAACTTCCAGCTGCATCTTGTGGATTTGTTGTTTGTTGGGGGGTTTTTTAACAGTTATTTTAGGCTGGACTACACGTTTTTACTACAAAGCCATACTGCATGATATTGCACAATCCTAGTGCATTCCTTTTGATATTTGGGATTTTTCCAATCCTGAATTGTAAGATGAAGTACAAGCAGTTTTTGTAAACGTGGTATGAATGTTTTGGTATATTAAACCACTAACTTTTGAAAAATAACCTTGATTTCAGAATGGGGCAAGTATAATGGTTGAAGTTGCAGCTGGTCCTTTTGGAAACAGTGAAAAGGTATGAACAGTTGTTTTAATATGTGCAACATACAAATACTGACATTTTGTAGCTAATTCATAGTGTGCTTTTCGGCATAACTTTCTCACAAAATATAGCCAGCTTCTGCTATTTTCTTTTAAGTATTAAATACCTGTTGACTTGGGTTTGATCCTAGAATGATGGAAACTTGGTGGAAGTCCCTGAAAACAGCTCCCCATGAGAAAGTAAGGATTGTATTTCAGATACTGGATTTTTAAATGATTCCCTCTGAAAAGACTATTCTTTTGGGGAAAACCTGACTGTCCAAATTTCTCTTCAGGGCCTGGATATCATTGATCAGTACTCTATAGTTAGGTTAATAATCCAGACTTGTTATTATATGGTTAAATGTTGTTTTAACTTTTTTTGTGTGTGTGCATATTATTTGTAAATCTGAAATTCCAGCTTATTTGTTGCCTTAAGCTTTATCCACTCTCTATGTTGGTTTCTGTTTTCTACTTTAGGTTCTACCTATTTTGAAGTTCTTCATTAACAATTAATTAATTGCATTAAAACTGTTTATTAATTTAAGCAAACAACAACAACAAAAAAATCCAAACCACCAGGATGCTTTAGATTAGATTTATGTGGGCTTCTGAAATACTGTTTTACAGTTACCTGTGGTTATTAGAGTGCCTAGACTTGAATACTCTGCAGCGACACTGTGTGACATGCCATTTTCATTGTTGGGTTTTGGAGACATTATTGTCCCAGGTGAGCAAATGTTTTTGGCAATTGTAACTTATGATTAAATATTTTGGTTTTGATTCTCAACTAAACTATATTAGAATATATCCTACAAAGTAGTTACTGAATCAAATGCAGCAGTTTGCCTTGATCTGTCAGTGCAGAATACAACACAAGCCACAATATAAGAAAGCTCAGTACGTTACAGAACACTTTAGTGAAGGGTTTTTGCTTTTCTATTGCACTGCATTCTGTAAATACAAGTCCTACAGATAAATCCAGTTGTCAGTATTAATTAAATCTCATTGAAATCTCACAGAAAGTAAGTATTCTGTGACTTCGTAGTATTTTTGTATCCTAGACTACTGAATTAGAGGTGAGGTAATGGAAAATGTATTATCTTTCTCAGAAGAGCTGAATTTTGCCATAGCTGGAGTCTTGAGCAAATTACTGAAGTCAGGCACAAACCACTATCTTGTGAACAGCGTGCTCTCCCTTCTCCTGTGATTGTACTAAGGCAAAATTGCTGATTGTTAAGAGCAAGCATTAAAATCCTATTGAAGAAAAGTATTAAAACTAGGTAGTTACTCTTCTGTATTACTGCCTTCAAAATTGGAAATACCATAATTTAATTAGCTGGCTTAAAAACCCAAAACCTTTTAATAGCAAGCTCACTTGGTTCATATTTGCAATATGGTTTTGATTTTCAAGACTTACTGTAGGATTTCTTAAACTGGTTCTTGGCTTTCCAGAAATAAATGGGAAGAAGATAACATACAGTAATGGGAAGTCTTACTACAAATTCTTTTTATGCTACTTTGATTTGGAGGATAGGGGAGAAGAAAATTCATGGCTAAATATTTCATTAATATTTTTTTTTTCTGTCAAGGGCTTCTGGTTGCCTATTGTCGAAGATTTGATGTTCAAACAAGTTCATCTTCTGTATACTACATTTCCTGTACAATAGGTAAATCATGTGATAATTCAGCAATGTTAATCTTCATGCTAGCTTTTTATAAATGGCAGAACTAGATTGATTTCTTCAGGTAAATGTTCAATGTTGTCAAGAATCCCTTTGTAATTTTTTTTAATGTGTCTGCCTGCATTTAAGGTGAGCGTTCTTTATACTTTGAGAAAGCTTGCAAATACAGAGCAACCTATTGTCCCTCTTTTCTTCAATTATATTAACAAGGAAGATACTACTTGAAAAAATTCCATCTTACTAAATGACTAACTTAATTTAAAAATTTGCCTGTTCTTGATCGTGTATGTATAAATATCTTTTTATAGCTTATGCCATTGGTATGGTGCTGACTTTTGTGGTTTTGGCACTAATGAAGATGGGACAACCTGCCCTACTCTATCTTGTACCATGTACGCTCATTACTAGCTCGCTTGTTGCTTGGAGGCGCAAAGAGATGAAGAAGTTTTGGAAAGGAAGCAGTTACCAGGTAGGCTGGATGCCTTGAGTATCTTATTGTTGTTAATTCCTTTGTTGGTAATATATCACTCACAATCCAATTTTTGCTAGCCTTAATGTTGGTTATCTTCAGGAATGAATAAGGAAAAATAGTCTAGTAGTTGACATTGCAGAACAAAGCTTAAGGAAGATGAAATAGCTGGTTCAATACTCATGGGGAAAAAGTAATTTGTTCTGTTTTATTTTCTTTGAAATGTTTTTTCATGTCTTAACGTTCCTCAACTATCATCTTGATGTGGTATAACATGAGTCACTGAACTAAGCACGTAGATTCCAACCTGCTCTAGTCCTGTATTAAGAGACAGTTCAAAAAAGTTGGTGATCAACTAGAATTTTAGAAACTTTCACGCATCACTGGTGACCTGCATCATCAGGATTATATGGAGCAACAAAATGGCTGGATGGCTGTATAACTGTTTTCTACCCCAGCACACGTTGTGTATGCACTGCCTTGGGTATTCTGCATTTCCCCTTTGGTTATCTCTAACACCACCCAGGAATTGCAGTCCTTAAAATCCTGCCAGCTGTCTGCCTCTGCCTGTTGATATGTGCACGTTCCCCCTGATTTGACTTTCTGTGGTAACCTACTGTGCCAGTAGTCCTTGCAAGATGGCATGTATCATAAGACAGACCAGTCTCAAGACTACTCTACATTTTGTTTTGAGACCTAAAGTCCAATATTGTTTGAATTTGGCAACTATCTCCTGTATCTAGGCTGTGTTGAACTCAGCTCAGAGAATGGGTAGTCTGACACAGGGGCAGGTGGGTGATGTTGATGGTGGAAAGGAGCAGCTCCTGCTTTTTCGGCTTCTGGATTGCAAAGTGTCAGTGGAAGTCAAGGTGGTGGTAATTGTAAATGTGAAATTACAGGCACGCAGCTGCTATTGTATTATCAGCTAAATGCTACCTCTTGTTGATCTACACCTGCTTCAGCTGGAGGTTGGCTAGGTATGAAATTACTCAGGAGATCTTCAGCTGCAACTAGATACCCTGTCTTTTTGTTTACAAAAACAACTCTTCTCCATTCATAGGTCTAGTGAATAGAAATGTTTCCCTGTAGGTCAGAAGGAATTTGGCTTACCATGCATTTGTATATAAATTGGTGACTGTTTGCTATTCTAAAATAAACAGTGTTGCATATGTGAAGCCCAGTAACTCTGGGACTGCTGGGGGGAAAAGCTTTGCAATTTATTTTCCTCACTTGAGGTCTGAGTAAGATTGGCCTAAGTAAATCTGGCAAGTCTCTTCAGTGACAAAAATTTCTTGCACTTCTCATAGCAAAACTCATACTTGGAAGAATTATGTTGCCATAGTAGCTATTTCATGTCTTTTCTACTGGTTTCTTGAAGGATTAAAACTCTGAACTTCAGCTTGTTTTGAGGTCAGATGACTTCATTTCTGGCACAATTTAAACTTTGATTTCCACCCCCACTCCACCACCCCTGAGTTAGACTTTGTGACTGAACATACTAACTCCTATTTTTCTATAACTTTCTGAAAAACTTTTTCTATATTTTTTTTTCCAGAGGGTTTTATTCCAGTGGCACTCTCAGAATGCTGCAATGTTAATGTTTCTCATATGTTGTCCTCCTCACATAAAGCTGCATTTTGAACTGTCCTTACTGAACTTAAAAACAAGGGGGGGAAAAAAATCGCCCCCAAAAAACCCCTACCACATAACCCCAGGGTTGAAATCTCCAGCTTTCAGTGCTCATTCTGAGGAGGAAAGATACAGAAAGGTGACAGAAGACTACTTTTTGCTACAACAATGGTAATTTGGACTGTAGCAGAGCTGCCCCATTAACAAGGGTGACGAGACTTCTGTAGAGGTTTGCTTTGTCCTTATGGGAGCAGAGAAACCTTGCAGACTTGTTAGAGCAAAGTGTCCTAAGAATAGGGATACCAGAGGATGTACAGTGTATCAGATGCCTAAACTTCATGAGTGTTGCTGCTTGTTTATAGTCCATTAGTTAGCTTTTTTGAGTTCTGGGTTTTTCTGATTTTTGTTGTCTGATTTTAATAATGGAATGAATTTTATTTAGGTATCGGACTCCTCCAGGACGCCTTTGCTACAAGGTGTGATTATGGCCTTCTTTTAATGCAACTTTATGAATCATCTTATGGTTTCTTTTTTTCTTTTCCCCTCTGCTTCCTCTTTTAATTCTTTTTTGCATCTATCTTCTTTTTAATTTTTCTTTTTAATTCAGTAGAAGAGGGTAGAAGTAAAGACAAGCTATAAATCTGTTTTTTATGCTTAGGTGTTTCTTTTGTTTTCTTTCTTTAAAGGAATAGAGGAAGTCTTCATATTAAGTACCAATGGAGCCATGATTCCTAAGCCTGAAAGCAGGCTTTGTATGCTTCTCTATTTTGTATTTCCCAAATCTCTACAAGTGTCTTAAAACGTTTAGAACTAGTGTTAGTTCCTCTACTGTTACCAGTATGGAAATACTTTACCTAATTTTTCTGTGCCACTGCATTGACATGAAAACCTGCTTAGAGCTAAATGACAGTCTTCTTGTCCTCTGCTATAATGTTCAGCCTTGTAATTTGCCTTTAGTAACTCTATCATCTTATTACTCCACACTATACTTTATCCTGTATTGTCTGCAAGGCTTGCAGTGGGGTAGGGAGCAAGGATTTGGACCAGCTTTTGCGGCCTTGCTGCTGCATAGCTTCTAGGCTGCAGCGAGAAGGTTTAACCTTGATAGGCTATAGCTCATGGCTGCTAACACTGATGTTATTTTATTTTAGCTGTCTGCTGTCTCAAGCACAGCATGGAGAGAGCAATGCAACCTTTCAAATTTCAACTTCTTGCAGAATTTAAGCATTTAAATAGAATCTTGAATTATGGTCATCAGTCTGGAGTTATACATGTATTTACAAAGCATAGTTTGTCTGCCCTGTACGCTGAAGACAATGCAAAATGGTGAACTCTGCCTGACTGAAATTCTGAACTAGAAAGTACTTTTCTCATTAGCTTCTTCCTTCTAATAGAGTACTTTAACAATTTAAGTCTTGTTAAAAAGTGTTAATAATAAATTAGATACCAATCCAGGAAGAGGTTAGGAAGTGGGAGGGATTCAGTGCAAATAAAAATCAGATGGCCAGACTGTATTTTTATAACTTAAAATTCTTCCATCTTGCTGTGTGCACTCAAGTTCTTGGATAAGATTACTAAAATCGTTTTTTCAATTTCAACTTTATACATATGGGAAATACTTGACTCCCTAAGATAGCTCTGAGGTCCCATAATTCTTAGCTCAGAGCATTAACTGCATGAGGTTCAACAAGACCAAGTGCTGGGTCCTGCACTTTGGTCACAACAACCCTATGCAACGCTACAGGCTTGGGGAAGAGTGGCTGGAAAGCTGCCTGGTGGAAAAAGACCTGGGGGTACTGGTTGACAGCTGGCTGAATATGAGCCGGAACATGTCCAGAGGAGAGCCACAAAGCTGGTGAGGGGTCTGGAACACAAGTCATATGAGGAGTGGCTGAGGGAACTGGGGTTGTTTAGTCTGGAGAAGAGGAGGCTGAGGGGAGACCTTATCTACAACTACCTGAAAGGAGGCTGTAGTGAGGTGGGGATCGATCTCTTCTCCCTGGTAATGGACAATAGGACAAGGGGGAATGGTCTGAAGTTGCGCCAGGGCAGGTTTAGGTTAGACATTAGGAAAAATTTCTTCATAGAAAGGGTTGTCAGGTTCTGGAATGGGCTGCCCAGGGAGGTGGTAGAGTCCTCGACCCTGGAGGCATTTAAAAGAAGGGTAGATGAGGTGCTTAGGGACATGGTTTAGTGGTGGGATGGCAGGGTGATGTTAACGGTTGGACATGATGATCTTAAAGGTCTTTTCCAACCTAGACGATCCTATAATTCTATGATTTCTTTATCTGCATAATGATGCAGTCTTAAATTCTAGTTATACTGTGTGTGGCTTTTTTATGGAGTAGTCTTGAGTTGTAATGGGTTGCTGCACAGAAAAACATTTAAACTATTCACTGAAGCACAAGGATTTCTTGGGAGAGTAACATACCTACTTTCCTACCACCAAATGGGCAGTATTGCTGCTGTGAAGTGAATAATAAAGGTTTTTCTAGGTTTTCTGGATTGCTTATACTCCTTATGTATGCCTGCATGGTAAATTAATTTGACGCTTACTTCCCAGTTCTTGATTTAATTTAAAAATACTCTTAATTTTTGTATCAGTACAATCTGTGAAATCATTTTAGTATCATCATGAAAAATCTAGTGGACTAATACAACTTTGAAGTCTTCTAGATAGAGCAGTCTTGCAACTTTTAGAGTTTGTCAATTTGAAGTGTTCAGCAAGCTTTCTTCTCTCTCTTTGAAATAATAAATCAATAGATTGGTCATTGGCATGTAGCGCACCACGCACCTGCTGTTTAGTACTGCAATTTTAAATTGCGTTTTTAGATACTTGCAAATTCATCATAATTGTAAGTTATTAAGAATTACGTGAATGCAACATTAACAGAGTGAATCTTGCAATCAAGTGTGTCCACGGGTGCTATGTAGTCTTTTACAGGTAGAAGTTTGTCTTGCCATTTCCAGTTTGGTTCTGTGTGTGTGGTCTTTGTTTTTGTTTGGTTTATTTTATTTTGCTTTTTAATAGTTCACCATGTTAGGAGATGGGTTAAACATAAATGTATTTTAGTTACAAAGCTATCTTGACACCATCCCTTAAAAACTGTCAGGAATTCAGATGTGGGAGAAGAGCTTCTGAATCTCTTCTACTCCCCACAATGTACAGTCTGATTCCTTTGGCTCTTTTGAGGCTCAAAACAACACAACAACTTTGTCCAGGATTTTAGCATGGTGCCTCCATCTTGCTGCTGGTTGTCGTAAAGATTCCTGCAGCTTCTGCTGGGGTTTTGAGGATGGGGTTGTCCTGACAGAACCTACAGCTGAGATGTACTCATGGAAAAAGCTGCTTAATGCAGTCTTACGCTTAGAAAGGCAGCTCTTGTCCCTGACTTCAAGTTGTGGGCTGTCCCACAGAAGAATCTGTATGGTGGAGAGATTAGACATGGGGTGGGGTAGCTTTTTTGTCTTTTTAGCCTTGTAACATTTGTATCTATCAAAAAAACCCGGACACCCTTTATGCTCTACTAGCCATTTTGGTTTTAAAGTTAACTTAAAAATCTGATATATTAAGTGGAGACTTTAAATTTTAAATACAGGTGGTATCTAGCATAAGTACATTTTGTGCTACTTATCTTGTTGTAGGATTAAGAGAAGAATCTTTGGGATGCAGTGAAAGCAAATAGTGTTGAGACTCTTCCTTCTGGAAGCATCTTGTCAATTTAATAGGGAAATATTTTACAAAAACGTGTACCAAAACTACCTGCTCTATGCCAGCTGTTAGATGATCCCTCCCTAGGATGAAGGAAGGTACCTGGCATTACTCGATGTAACGTGGTACTCCGTGCATGGGGGTTTTGTTGTTGCTTTTTCCTGGAGCGAATACTTCAATCCTCATTCAAAATGACAATTTGACTTCTGTAATTGTAGGGAATGTCTTGCTTTGGGTCACTTTTTGATGTGGGTTTTTGGTCACAGTGCCGGGGTAGAGTTCCGGATATACTGAAGATGCAAGATTGTCATTAGCACGGGAGCTTGGTATTCACTGCTGGACTGAGCGCGTGCTATTGCTACAACTCAGCTCTTAGGTGTATTGGCAAGACTCGTGCCTGCCTTAATTCTTCTTGTCTTAATTCTTGTCACGTGAAGGGAGGGATGTGAAAGACCTTTTCTGGTTTTAGTCGGGTTGATACTGTGGCTGTTAGGCTTTCCTAAGCCTTACCCAAGTCCCAGTGACTTGTTTCTGCCTTGGAACTGTCATCTCAACTTAACTGCATGGCATGCTGGTACGTCTCGATTGGGAAACAGCTTGTTTAAGCAAACCTGCTTTTAGTAAGGTATGTTTATATACCTTGCAATGAAACAACTATGTTGGTGTAAAAGAGAGTATAGCACAGAGGTGGGTCATGGCTAGAGAAGAAGAGAGAAGTTAACGGAACTACCCTCTTTGCCCTATATATAGAATTATACCACACTGAAGTGCATATGACACAGTAGTGTTGGAGCCTGGCTTTGTCTTGCCAAGGATCCTCCAGCAGGTGCTGGTAAGACAAGAAAGCAATCGTGTCCTCATTGCAGGGAAATCTGCTCAGCTTAGAACTGGGCTGCCAGTGAGCAGCTGTTTTACAGAAAGGCAGAGAGCCTTGTTACTATGAGGCAGGGTATGCCACTATGGAAGAACATGTAGGGTTTTCTGCCTTTTGATGCTGAAAGCATTATGCCCTTGTCCTAATAATCCTGCCACATTGGGCATGTGAGCTCCCTGACACATTCTCTTTTTCAGCATTAGCTTTACTACCATATCTTCTGTCTCTGGTTCTCAGCTGTCAAAACTGTCCAATCCTTGGCCTCTTGTTAATTATGTTTAATTCTGAAGCCCTCAAACTGAGAGCAGTTTCGTATGCTAACAAACATGTATATTACCGTCTGTAACCTTGTCCTAGGGAGGAAACCAGACCCTTCATTGCCCTCTAGGAGTACAGCAGTGGGTAGGGAAACAGCTGCTTTTTAGTAATGTACAATGGTGTGTTGTGTTATCCAGGTGACCTAATCAGTTACATTAATTGGAAAGTATAATCAGTTTATATAATAATTTGGTGTAGAGTCTCTTCTGTTGTGGGACTTTACAATTCCATTTCCTTTATCCTTTTTAAAATAAAAGGAAAATTTACAAAGAAATGTTGCCACTACAGTTAGCTTTTACTAACTGTAATATAGCTAGCTTTACATGAAAAGAGAAAACTAGTTTTTTTTCTATTCAAACTATTGCTTGCTACCTGTAAATGTTAGGAAGGATCCTAGTGTCTATTTCCACTTCTCCAAACTGTGTTTTTGAAAAATTGTTTTTTTGTTCTCTGTATTTAGTAATTGAAAGACTTTTGACCTGTGAGTTTAATTTCTTGTAGAGGACTTGAATCCCTGTTTAGAGAATGCTTTTGTAGTGGAAAGCATTAGCTAAGAGAGCTTTGATTATTTGGCTTGACTACTTTTCTGATCTATAGAGGACTTCCTATCTGTATGCTGCTAAAATGCACTCTAACACATGTTTAATTATGTTTCTCTTAGCTAACAAATACTTTGGACCAATGGGGGGAAAAAGCAGTATTTCTTTGTAAAAACCCATCTTTGTGGCTTTTCTTTTTTCTTTTTACATTTAGATGATGGAACACCTGGATTATACAGGAAATGAAGAAAGCACAGCATCAGTCAGTGAACAGCCTGGAGGACAATAACATGTAGGATCCTGATTTAAAATAGTATTCAAATTTTCTACAAATGAATTACAGTAAACTTGGTGAAGTTTTTCAATAGAGTATTTCTACTCTGTGTAAAAGGGGTTTTTATGCCCACACCTATATTTTTATGGAAAATATTGTTAATAACATAAAAGTAATCAAATAGACTTGCATTTTTACAGTCAAACCATAGCTAGTAAAACCGTGCCTTATTTCAATTTAAATAAAAGGATATTTTCTATGCAGTTTGCCGAATGTGTTTCTATACAGTATATTTTTGTAAAAGTTTCTTGCCCATATCAGTTTGATGCATGAAAATTTTTCTTAATTTTGATTAAGACTAGTCAAGTTTCATTTAAAAAAAAAAAAAAAAGTACAGTACCCTTCATGGGATTCCTTTCCAGATTTTTGAATGCAAAGATTGGTAGCAATGTAACTATAGCAACTACAGAATGAAACCATAGTTCCATTACTCCAAGTCATTGAATAAACAGTACGTATGTTAGTCTGTGTACACTGCAAGCCATAAAATAGATAACAGGGCAAATTTAGCTTGGGGTTCTGAGCTTCCCCCCACCCCTCATATCACTGGTTTATGCCTTAATTGTGAAAATTGTTAATCTTTGATGCAAGTCTTTTGGATTATATACATCGCCAACTGTTTAAAAAAAAAAATATAAAAGGGGGGAGGTAGTTAACACAGCAGTCCTGGAAACGGAGGTGCAGCTCCTGGAATAGTTGACAAAGAAGATGGTGTGAAAGGCAAGAGGATTTTTGCTCAAGTGCTATTTTGGGGGGGTGGTGTGTGAGAAATGTTAACTCTGGCCTGGTTCTTCTCCTACCCACTGAGCCTAGGTCTGTATTTGTGGTCTTAAATTGGCTGTGGATCAGTTCAAAGGGATGGGGGAAGACAGGACAGGTGTGTCTTCCCTCCCCCCCCCCACCCCCCAGCTTTTGCATCTACACTACTTTTGGGGGGCGGGCGGGGCTGGAACAATGACTGGTTTTGAAAATTCTTTGCAACTGATAGACAAAACAACAGGTTTGAATAGTGCTAGTAGTGCCTGTGTTAGTTAAGGCCAGTGCATGTGTTTAACTTGTTTAATATTAATTTGTTTTAGCTTTTAATGAATTGGAAAAGGAGAAATAGTTTAAATGATTAGTTTGCATTTAGAAGAGTTTGAGTTTGTTTGACACTTTTCTTTTTTTCAGGAAACTGCAAATTGAGGGAGATTAGGCATAGAAAATTTGTATAGCTGTAATCCTAACATTTTACACCAAAGAAAATTGGACAAGGCAACAACAGGAAATCACTGAGTTCACTTAATGCTAATGTCAGGTAGCTGTTAAAACACTTTTCCTATTCTTTAAATCAATGTCATTCCTATAGTCAGTACAAGTTCATAGAACCCTGGTGAAAACAACCAAGTAAGCACATGCTGGGCAATGGCAATGCAGGCTTTCCTGCGGTGCCTCATGTAAGTGCCTCAGTGTTCGTCTGAAGGTCACCTCTAGACATTTATACTTAGTTTGGGGCACGTTGGCTCAGGAAAACTTACCCAGATTAAATCTAGTTTAGCTAGATTTACTTTGGAAGTATGCTAATTAAGACAATTGTAAATCTATATTGGCAGTTAACAAAGGCTTACTGCAAATTTACCACTTTACGTAATTTATATCAAGTTTAAACTTTTGTTTGCAAGTCAGGAGCAGACAGACTTGCAGGCTGAGTATCAGTTGTTGCCATTCACACAGATTGACCGTGGTGCCAGTTGATACGGGTACGATAACCACCTTGTTTGCAACTTGCCTAAGAAAACAGAAATTACCAACAGTTTTCATATGTTAGTAGTTGCCCCTCTTGACTTTTTTGACCTAAGCTTGAACTGACAGCCTTAGAATACAAATGATCTTGCACACCATCTTCAATTTTTATTTGACTGGCACTTAATAATAAATTACAGCATACCTCAGTGTTCCAATAGCAGACTGAAAACTTGTTTTCTGATGTGTTGTCATGCTCTTTGACAAGCCCAGTGTCTGCCAAAGTTAAATGGTTATGAAGAAGTTTATGAAAATTCCTGAAAGAGATAAAGAAGTCATAACTCAGTCATGCACTACTCGAAGCTCTCGGAAGCTTCACAAATCTATGTAATACGACTCCTTTTTCTCTTTGAAATTTTTTGCATGGAGGATTTATTAAATTTTCAGCTATAAATTATAATGGAATTAGTATAAATAAAGACAACCTTTGGCAACGTAAGTTATTCAGCAGCTGGCTGTGGAAACTCTGTCTTGTTCTGTGCCTAATTATGCTCCATGTCTGATCATGCCTGAGGCTTCACACACATGTGCTGCAGTTTAATGGGATGTAAACTAACTTTTTTCTTTCAAATGCTTAGGCGCTTTGTTTACAAAATTTATGAATGGAGTTTAAAATTTTATATAAATAATAGGTTAGTATTGACTACTGAAATGAGGTTTTTATAAGTTCAGTAGAACTGATTGCAACACTTTTAGCAATTTTGAATGTTTTTAATATTAAATTTGGTTGGGCTAAACACTATATTAGAAGCCTTTTTAGTCATACTTTAATATAAAAATCTTACTACCTTTTCATTGTATGTTTACTGACAACAGCCCCCTTCCTTATGACTCTTTAAGTTATCACTTTAAGAATGTTATTAATAAATTTTACTTGGAAAAAAAATTAGTTGAGTAATTGCTTTGTTCTGACTCGTCTCTTTGTTACCATTACCGCCATGTTCATGGCAAAACAGTTAACACTTGATAATACCAAGTAAATTAAAAATTCATGATACACCCCCATAAATACGTAGTTGCAGTTTTTATCCATCCTGCCCAATGTATCAGTTAGGCTGTTTACAAACAGAATCACATGTGGTGGTTTTGGTGAACTGCTTTATTTGGGGGTTTTTTGTTATGTTTTTGGTTTTTTTTCTTTCCAGAGGCAGGGGGGACAACTGAAGTCTGTGAATTGAGCTACATCAGTTTTACTGGTCTAACTCAGCAAATGCTTACTGTGCAGCTGTTAGTCATGGGGCTGTGTGACGGTACACCTGACGGTCAGGTCAGTTAGAAACTTAACACATGCAAACTTCTTGACAGTAACAAGCTTACTTGCATTCAGCCTAGGAAATAGTGCTATAGAAGCCTTGTTCAGCTGAATGTACTTAGCCTTGGACACAAAGGGCAAGAAAAAGCCAAGCTTGAAACCCAGGGTGGGTTGGAAATGTTGGCAGAGGATAAAAAAAAAAAAATCACTGAGCCTGAATACATTTGATATGTGATCCTTGAGACTTGCCTAGAACCCTGTGTTTGTATTTAACATGTTTTTAAGTATTTTAAGCCTCTTCTGTTCAGGCACTGGAGGTTCCAGTAGCATTGAGTCACAGTAACTGAATGCGTAACTGCAAGAAAGCTCTCCAAAATGCTCTTTGAAATTAGTTATTTTAAAAAGTAGAGGCATTGGGAAGAACAGACACAGTTGTAATCAGTAAACTTCTTTTTCACTGTCTGTTCCCCATGCATTCCATTAAGGCTGGTACGTTTGACACTTCAGCAAAACTGCAACTCTCAGAGGCTTGAAAAGGGCAAACAGAAGAGAGACATTGTCTCCTGTTTAGATCAGCCCAGTCTTTGCAATACAATTCCATTTAGACATAAGAAAAAGCTTTTCACTGTCAGTGTGGTCAAACACTGGAGCAAGTTACCCAGAGGGGTGGTAGAATCCCCATTCTTGAAGATACTCAAATACAAGTGGACACAAGCTTGGCAGCCTGCTCTGAGCACGGGGGTTGGACTAGGCAATCTATAGAGGAGCCTTCCAATTGTGCTGCTCTGATTATTAAGGCATTTTTCTACTCATTTTCCAGCTTGAATAATCTGCAAATTTTATCACCACAATGTGGGTTTGATTTTTCACTTGGAATAATTTCCTTCTACTAAACTTAGATTTTAAAGTTGTCTTTGGATTTGTAATGCTTTCAGGAGCTAAAGCACTGTTTTATTTTCAAGTAGCCTATACAGCCCATTTTACTGTGTGAATTACTTATCTTTCTAATTTTGAGGAAAGGAAGAGAGCAACTCAAACTGTTCTCCCTTTTGTCAGAAGTGAGTGATCAAAGTTCAAGGTTTTGTGTTCTTGAGAGAGACTGATGATGGAGGCTCAGGTATCTCTGGAATCCCTCCTATTTATAAAGAATGTGCAAGATCCTGTTTCCCTGAACACAGAGGGCATTAAATAGCTGAGAATGGGGTTTTTTGCTTGCAGCTCAAAGACCTTTTAACCAATAAAGTGTTTAGATCAAAGAGCTGCCTTTCAGCTTTTTCTTTGGAGTATGCTCACAGGTATTCTGCTGTCTGGTTTTCTGTTCCCTCTCCTTGCTCATGCACATACTCACCTCCTTTCTTTCCTCCTCTCTTCTCTTTGGGGCAATACCAGCATGTTTTGAAGTGGCTTTGCATATTACTTTGTCTTGGACAATAATATTTGCCTCTGTTCCAGTATGGAGACCAGCGTTTATGAGGAAATGCAGCAGTCATACCCCCCAGCTCAATCTACCAGTAACAGTAATTTAGAACAACAGTTTATCTTCTGCACATCCTTGCCTGTGTTACAGTCCCACTGACTTTCTGGGGTTGCGGTAATGTTGGTGCAACAGCCTGGCTTCGATCTGAAAAACAAAAAAAGCAAAGGAAGCTTTTTACAGTTTTATCCGAAGCTGAAACACACTCGTGCTGGTTCTCCCCATGTCTTTGCAGAAAGGCTACCAGAATATATCAGCCTCGGTATTGTATGTGCTTGGGAATACAAGGAAATACAACAAGTATTGATACATTTAGAAGTTCAACAATAACTCAATTAGTTTAAGTTCAAGCTTTGATGTGTCCCTGTCAAAGCTACAAGAAAAGTGGGGTCCTTTTAATTAATGTTTCTTTCAAAAGGTAACAGAGACTATGCTGGGCAATTGATCCATCCTTGTGGATTTAAGGCAACTAGCTGCAGAAAATTAGCAAACAGGTATTGTTAGGTGAGTATTTCTCTGGTAGCTGATTTAAAAAATAAATTTTAAAAGTAAATTTACATTATAGTAATAAAGGAAAAAAAGAGCAAATGCATGCCCATTGGTACCTTTTTTCTCTACGAAATGGAACAGCAAACCTCTCCAGGACAACGTGATGCTTTTGTCAACATCACTGTCAAATAAGAATTCAAAGTTGGACAATTAAGACCAGTCCTGCATAGGCTCACATAAAATTGTACCTTTTGATTATAAGGTACTTATCTCTGAATTTAAAAAAAAAAAAAAAAAAATCAAGAAACTGAGCTCTGTAAGGATACCTGTGAACTTGTCTCCGATTTCTAAAATTCAGGAAGCGGCTGCTTTGACCTGCTGCCGTGTTCTTGCAAAGCAGTTCAGACTGTGGCACTATGCTGGCATTGTCTGCTCCTGCTGCTGCCGTACCCGGCTGGTTTGGGCATGGAAGTCATGGAAGGGGATGCTGCACCTCTTCTTGCACATGGAGCATCTCTATGCAAAGGCCACCTCACTACTTGTCTACCATGCACCAGCTGAGCTGCTAACAAGCTGAAACTCAAGAATTCGTGAGCCCGGAGATTGCAGCAGGAACAATTTTTAC